TCATGTTTCGGAATTTTCAAAAAAAAGAAGAAGACTGCGGACTCAGATACCGAGTCTCTCCCTCCACTCGTAAGCTTAATTGCTCTGTCACCTGCTTAAACTTCTACCCCATCTTTTGAGTAGCTGACCTTTGCTTGTACAAACTTCGCCACAACAGCCTTTGCTTTCGATACCGGTTCGCTGTTCTGTAACCACGACTTTTTCAGAGCATCGCTTGCAGAGACTCGCAGTATGGGCTAAAATACTTCTTCTCGCAAGATGACAAAATAAGGGATTAGTTAGTCTCTCCAGAAACTTACATCGACTCTTAACATCATCTTGATGACGTGCTGCGTTTCCAGAGTCACGTATTTCCATTGATTATGGAATATGAGTCGACCTAAGCACAAATTAACCGCTGATTTTTCGTGATGATGAATTTGTAGTGCTGGAATTACCTTTCTTTATCTGTGACTTCAGATCCATGTCCTGGTAGTCGTCACTGAATGGAGGGTAGCCAGAAATGCCGGTAAAAAGCACTACACCCAAGCTCCACCTCAAGATATTAACATTGCAGAACTTCGAGAACTTTAAGAAAAATACTTGAATAGAGGAACTCACATGTCAACTCTTGGATTATAGGGAACCTTTTCATTTTCTATCATCTCCGGAGCCATGTAATTAGGCGTACCGCAATAGGTTTTCATGGTTGAGGCATCTGCGTCTTTGGCGAGACCAAAATCAGCCAACTAGGGTATTATTCAAGGTAAATAGCATATTTTTGAATGAATAGCAAAGTTTCACTTAGTGCACGTACCTTCACAATAGTGTAGTCATCTTTTGTCATACAGAGTATATTTTCTGGTTTGATATCGCGATGTGTAATGCCGCGCTCGTGGAGATACTAAATAATAAACTCGTACAACACGTATGAAGGTATAATAATGAGCTCCCCATCTTCAGATTTTCAGGATTGATTCGCACAAACTCTAAAGATTTCGGAAAAAAAAGAAGCGGTCCCCCCTCCTCATCTCCCGCCGCTCCGATAAGAAGCGACGGCTATAAG